TCGCAAATCTTCCTCCTCCCCAGCAGGGGGGGGGCATCCTTTTTTGAGGATGCCCCTCGGGGCAAACGTAGTAAGCCATTTGCTGGGCCACATCGTCTGGCACGCGACAGAGAGAAGCAAGTCATAGCATTGCCAATTGTAGCATCGCGCAAATAGCGTAGCAGAGCCAAGCGTAGCATAGCATTGCGTTGCGGTGCGCTGCACAACATAGCATAGCACGGCATAGCGTTCTTTTCCTGGGTCCCTCCCCTGCTCATCCTCCTTCTCCTTTTCCTGATCCTCTTCCTCCTTCCGTTCCCCTTTCCTCCCCCCCCGCCTGCCTCTTCCTCCTCTCCTAGCGTCGGCGCCGATGCAAATGTGCACCGCCATCGCTGCGGTCCGCGCTCACGTCCGCTAGAGGGGGGGGGGGCTCCTTTTTTTGAGGGTGCCCTGAAAAGCAGCCGCCGCCTCCTCTCTCCTGTCCCACTTCCTCCTCTTCTTTCTCCTGCTTCCCCTCCTCCCTCGCTTCCCTTGCCCCCCTGCCCCTGCGCTGCTGCCCCTGCGCGCCAGCCCGCCCCCGCCCCTCGCGAGCGGCTTTCTTTCCCGCGCACCGCTGCGCGCTGTTGTTTCTGCGCTAGTCCCCGTTCTCGTTGCGCCACCACAGCCAGCGCAAGTGCCCCACTCCGCTCTCAGGCCAGTGCTTGACCTCCGTGGCTCAGGTCTTCGGCAGCTCCTGAGGCCGCCCCCCACCCTGCCTGCCCGCGCCCTCCCCCCAGCGCAGTCCTGCAAGCACAGCTTGAGGAAGACGCCCCACCAAGTCTGGAAGGAGCAGAGCCTGCGCTTGGCGTCGTCGCGTTCCTTCCCCGCCCCCCCGCGGGCGCGCCTCTCCTCCTTCAGCTGCTTCTGGGTCTCCTTCAGCTCCTCCCAGGGGCGGTTGGTTTCTCTTACTGCCGCTTCGCGAAGTGCCCCCCCCCCCCCCCCCCCCCCTCCCCACCCCCCCCCCCCTCCCACCCCCCCCCCCCCCCCCCCCCCCCATCATCACCCCCCCCCCTCTGAAAGCCCCTCGTCTTCTGCATATGCTCCCAAAAGTCCCGCCTGTGGTCGCGCACCAAGTCCACCTGGGGCGGCGCAAGCTGCACGCATGAAGCACAGCGCGCACCTGGCACACCGCGCGCACATGGCGCACGCACACTTCGCACAAGGCACGCACGTTGCGCACCGTGCGCACCGTCAGGTTTGTCTATCCGCCCACCCTGCGTTTCAGCCGCGCGATCTTCCTCGTGTAAGGCTCGACCACCGCCTCGAGGGCGGCGGCCTTCTTTCTCCGCGCGTTTTGCGGGCGTTGTAGGCGGCGTTGCGCGCCTTCTTCTTCGCGTGGGCGGTCGTTCCTGGTTTGGGGTTCCCCACGCCAGGGGGGTGGCGGGGCGAAGGGCGCGGCGTCGGCGCGAGCGCGCCGCGAGCTGCTTGAGCCTCGGTCGAGGCGCGGCGTGCTTGCTCGCGTTTCCTCCCTCCCTCCCCCCTCCTCCTCCTCCTCTTCCTCCTCGTTTTTCTTCCCCCCCATCCCCCTCCTCCTCTCCCTCCTCCTCCTGCTCCTGCTCCTCCTCCTCTTCCTCCGTCTCATCCTCCTCCTGTTCCTCCTCCTCCTGCTCCTCCTCCTCCTCGTCCTCCTCCTCCTCGTCCTCCTCCTCCTCCCCCGCCTTCTCCTCCTCCTCCTCATCCTCCTCCTCCTTGTCCTTCTGCTCCTTCTCTTCCCAATCGGATTCCAGTATCGGGCGCGGAATCCAGCAGAACCCTTGGGAAACAAAAAAGAAAAGAAACCCAAATTATCCCAGTGCGACCCTACCTAGGAGTTGGAGCTCTTAGGAAAGCAACAAAAGCTAAGCTAAGCTAAGCTAAGCTCGGGTAGCTAAGCTAAGCTAAGATAAGCTAAGCAAAGCTAAGATGATATGAGATAAGCTAAGCTACGCTAAGCTAGGCTAGGCTAGGCTAGGCTAGGCTAGGCCAAGTTAAGCGAATCTAATATGATATAAGCTAAACTAAGCTAAGCGAAGCGAAGTTAAGCTTAGCTAAGGTAAGCTAAGCTAATATGAGATAAGCTAAGCTGGGCTAAGCTAAGCTAGGCAAAGCTAGGCTAAGCTAAGCTAAGCTAGGCTAGGATAGGCTAAGCTAAGCTAGGCTAAGTTAAGCTAGTATGAAATAGGCTAAGTTAAGTGAAGCTAAGGTAAGATCAGCTAAGCTGAGCTCAGCTAAGCTAAGCTAAGATGAGATAAGCTGAGATAAGCTAAGATGAGATATGCCAAGCGAAGCTAAACTAAACTAAGCTGAGTTAAGCTAAGCTAAGCTACGATGAAATACGCAACGCTAAGTTACGGGGGCGTAACTGGGGGAACCGCGGGGCGGGGACTGGGGGAACCGCCCGGGGCGATTTCCATTGCCCGGCCCTTTAAGCTAAGAGAGTAGGAACCCTTCTAGGCAGAGCCTAGGTAGGGAAATAAACACAAACATCCTGAGGATACCTTCCCCCCCCCCACCCCCCAGCCCCCGAATCTCTGCTCAGGATTGTTTTTTTTGTTTTTTTTGTTTTTTGGTTTTTCCCAGGGTTCTGCTGGATTCCGCCCCCGCTAATGGAATCCGATTGGGAAGAGGAGGAGGAGGATGAGGAGGAGGAGGAGGAGGAGCAGGAGGAGGAGGACGAGGAGGAGGAGGACGAGGAGAAGGAGGAGGAGGAGGAGGAGGAGGAGGAAGAGAGGAGAGAGAAAGACGCATACGAGAAAGGGGGTGGAACCAGGAGAGATATGTCCCTCGAGAAGGTTCCCCAAAGGCTCTGGACCAGCGGGGCCCCTCCTCAAGAACCTCACGCTCACCGGGCGCAGAGGGCTTGCCCGCGGCAGTATGTTCATGCTGCGCAGGCAGGCTGCGACTTCGGCATGCGGCAGACTTTCTGGGCGTTGCCTCACGATCGTAATGGTTGCAACTTCTGGTCTCAAGGAGTCTGGGGTCGAGCTTCGCAGGCATCTGCTTTCAGAGTCCCTGGCGTCCCCACATGCATGCTAGAATCCAGAGGGCCTGGGGTCCACCGCCTCGTCTCCTCAAGCGCGCGGGCAATGGCAGGTGGCAAAAGTTCATGGGCCCCGTCTCAGCTGTTCAAGCCACTGTGTTCGATGTTGGGTTGGGTGGGGTCTTAGGGAAGCTTCTGTTTAGCAGCGTCGTACCTTTTGTGGCACTGTGGGGGACTAGTCCGTTCCTGTTTCTACTAAGCCAGGGGGACCATAGGCTTCCAGAGGCCCAGGAGGAGCCCCACCACAGACAAAAGCCCAGCGGGTTCACATGCATCATAGACAAAAGGCATCCCCAAACGATCCATCATCGGCCCTCGAGTGGCGGGGGCCATCCTCTTTAGCGGCAGCAACGCCTGCCGCAGCAACTCGGCATCCATTCCTGCGCCTCCACCTCATCTATTTTTCGCCTCGGGGAAAAGTCTGGGTCGGGTCGGGTCGAGCTTCGGCCTCCTCCTCCTCCTCTTCCTCCTCCGCCTCCTCCTCTTCCTCCCTCCTCCCTCTTTCCTCCCTCCCTCCCTCTCTCCCTCCCTCCCTCCCTCCCTCCCTCCTGCCCCTCCCTCCTCCTTCCTCCCTCCTACCTCCTCACTCGTCACTCCTGCCTTCTACTTCCTGCCTCTGCCTCCTCCTCCTCCGTAGCCCTTTCGGTTCGAGGCTTTCCCTGGCCGCGCCCTTCTCCCTCCGCTTCCCTCCTCACCCCTCTTCCGACCACCACTCTGGCCATGCCTCGCCCCCTCCCGCCCCTCATGCTCCTGCTTCTCCTCCCCCTCCTCGTCCTGCTTTTCCTCCCCCTCCTTGTCCTGCTTCTCCTCCCCCTCCTTCTCTTCTTCCTCCTCCTTGAGGCGTGAAGCCCCCCGTGCCGATGCGGCACCATACTAGGGTCGCGGTACTCTATGCGGCCACCGCAGGCCCGCCCTGACGGCATGAGAGTGCCGGAGAGCGGGGCCATTCCATGTTCATCGCAGGGAGCAGGTATCCTGGGTAGTGAAGCGAGGCGATCTGGCCCGCTGATGCGAAGCAGACGTTGCCCCCCAAGCGCATAACATATCAGATCAGATCATATCAGATCATATCATGTCATATCATATCATACCATACCATATCATATCATCATTCCCGTCCTTCCCTTCTCCTCCTCCTCCTCCTCTTCTTCCTCCCCCTCCTCCCTCCCTCCAACGTCCCCGGTCCTGCCCGCTCGCCCAGGAGGCAGCGGGCATGGCGCTCCCGTGCCTGGCGTGCATGCCTTGCGCCCCTCGCGACCGAGGCGGCACGCGCGGGCCGCCCCCGGCCGCGCCGCTGCCGCCGCCGCCGCCGCCTGGAGGCGGCGGCGGCGCGACGCCCGTAGGTCGAGCAGGGGATCGACCCCTAAGGGTCTTTTGTGTTGCCCCCCCCCTTCTTCCTCCTCCTCCTCCTCCTCCTCCTCCTCCTCCTCCTCCTCCTCTTCCTCCTCCTCCTCCTCCTCCTCCTCCTCCTCCTCCTCCTCCTCGTTTTCCTCCGTAGCCATTTTGGCTCAAGAGCTACCGAGCCTGCCCTGGCTCCTGGTGGCTGCGCGCGCCCGCCGTCGCGCGGGATCCGTCGGGATGATGTCGCCTGCTGCTTCATAGTGTTCTGCTCTCTCTTCGTGCTCCTCTCCCACCTGTGCGTGGGCGCTGCTGCGGGCAGTTCTTCGATACCGAGCTGTCGTTCCTGGGTGGCCGCCTCTACTGCGGGGGCCCCGCTCACTGGAGCTCAACGTCGCCGCCGCGAGCAGGATTCTTGGCACGCGACTTCCCATAGTGGGCCTGGGGAGGCTTTGGTGGAAGTGGATGTGGCTGACAGGGCTGATGTGAAGCGCATGGCCCAAGGTAAGGCCTTTCATCGGATTCTCGATACTGAGGGCCTGATTCGTGGGATCGCCCCAGCTGCTTCTGGCAAGCTTGGCTGCACATCGTGCGCTCCGACGAGGTGTGCTCTCCCCTGACGGCCATGCGGCCGCGCGGGCGGCGCTGGAGCTGGCGGACGCCGCCAAGCATCGTCACCAGGCCCTTCATGGATCTGGTGTGCGTCGTGTTGCGGACCACGCTGGACATCATGAGCGTTCTGGTCGGCAGGACCCCGATGGAGTTCAAGTTCGCTCTGGCCGTAGTGACCATGCTGCTGCTTCTCGCCCTCGCTGGGCAGATGTACCTTCTGACGACGACGACGATGTTGCAGTGCACGACCGACCTCCGCCTCGAGCGGGAGGCCCGTTTCTCTCCAGCACGACGGCATGCCCCTCCAGCAATTGCGTGCAACCTGAGGCGGCGATGCAGACGAGTGACCTTCTCTTCTCGTACATGGCTCAGCTCACGTTTACGATGAACGAGCTCATGTGTTTGTGTTGGCTACGACGCTCTTCGCCTACAGCTGGACACCACTCGATATGGTTCAGACATCGGAGCCCAACGTGTACCTGGACAATGACTACTTCCTGGATGACCTCGGCTTCGAGACCGAGCTCTGCATTTTCGAGGAGCGAGCCCGGCCCCCTGCTGTCGGTGATGCCGGTGGTAATGCCGTTCCCCATGCCGCTGGTGATCGACCTGCCAAGCTTGCTAGTGCCGACGCGGCCGCCGCTGCTCGTGGCGTTCGTCCTCCGCTTCCTGGTGATCCTGTTGCGGATCGATCGGGTCGATGGTCCCCAGGATGCCGTTCACGATCGTGATCGCTACAGTGCTGCTCACCCTGTTCGTGCTGCTGCCGCTGGTCGCCCACTGCCCGCAGTTCGTGCTGGAGCGGATGACGATGCTGGCGCTGGTGCTCTCCCTGCTGCTGCTGCCGCTTGTGCGGATAGCCGCCTGAGAGATGCCGGTCAGGGCTCAGGTACTGGTGTCCCGCCCCCTGCCGAAGCCCAAGCGCATCCTGGTGGTCCTGTCAAGGCTCGGGATTTGTTCTGCTTGAAGGTGCTGGACGTTGGCCCTCGTGTGGCCTGGCGCCCCGCGTGCCGCGACGCTCGCTGGCACTCTCACCTCGTGGACGTCTCGTTCGAAGCGGCCTCGAAGGAACACATTCGGGTTGCTGCTGTACCCCCAGCTTTGTTATCTGCGCTGCCCCTGTCGTCCTCTCTGTGGCAGGCGCGTGCTGACGGATGCAATGCGGTTGAGATTTTCGCGATGCTGGACTCAGATGAACGCGCAGCTGCCGCTCGGGACGCATCCTCATCACTTCCGCCCTCCACGGCCTGTTCGGCCCCAGCGGCGACGACTTCAGTCACCAAGGTGCCTTCGACGAGTAGCACTGCGACCCCCTCAGCTCCGTCGGCGCACTGTGACCATCAGCCCCCTCCTGGTCAGCGTCCTGCGGCCCCCCTGCTCGCGCTGCTCACGCAGAGTCGAATGCTACGAGGCGCATCACTTTCAAAGAGGATACCGACCACGTCAACTGCTTCCACGGAACGGGGATTCTGCCCCCGCCGGATCGAGTGCCACCAGCGGGCAGAGGGGCTGAACGGGCACCGCGACCAGATGCAGCACCTCTGTCAGCAGCATCGTCAACGCGCCCCTGGGGACCGACAGGCATTGCAGCAGCTTCAGCAAGAAGCGACGGGTAGCACGGGTCGTCGTCAGCGTCGTCCCAGCTTGCCGTATCCCAGACGGGATCAGCACCATCGGCGGCAGAATCATGACCGATACCGAGCTGCTGTTGGCCACCATCAGCGGCAGCAACCAGAAGGAAGAAGGTGATGCGCACCTTCATGGGCGCGTGACGCCTGGCGCCCCTTTCTTTCGACATTATGACCTTCTGCCGCTTCGTGCCTGCAGCAAGGCTCTCTTCGCTCACGTTGACTTCGTCGTCATGGTCGACAAATTCAATCCGTTCGGCTTCATGGTCGCCGACTCCTTCGCCGCGGCGGGGGCTTCCCCTGCCATTGTTTCTGCTGCCCCTCCGGGCGCGGAGGTTGACGCAGACTACCAGAAGAGCTACGATTACCAATGCAAGTACGATTTCGAAAAAGGACCACCTTGGCTACCTCGACGCTGGCGACCGCCCGGGCACCTTCAACGTGGACCTGAGAGGCTCGGCGCAGCGGCCGCGCGGCCCTGGGGCGTGAGGATGGACCTTCGCTCAGGGACGCTCGCTCTTCCTCTTGTTCCTCCTCCTCCTCCGCCACCCCCCCCCCCCCCCCGGCCCTCCTCCACCCTTTCCCCTCCCCCCCTCCTCCCCCCCCCCCCCCCCCTCCTCCGCAGCCATTGTGGCTTGAGCCCTTTTAGAGCCTTGGGCCCGATGTCCTTCGGAGCAGCTCCGCGGCCCCACCTGCCTCCTTCGCAGCAACGACTTCGGGTGCTTTGCCAACCCCCAACTCCCCATGTTTACCACCCTACTTGCCTTGTCTTCTGCATGGCGGGCAGCGGGCCCAGCCTGGGCTCAGGCGGCTCTGACCAAGAGGTGGAGCGGGAGCGGATTAAAAGCCGCAGCGGCCCCGCGCCGCCTTCTCGGCGACGCCGCCAACGCCGACGACAACATTGCGACCAACCTCCTAGAGGACGTCGGCCAGACCGTGGAAATCGTCGAGCACGAGACCGCAACTGGGGCCCGTTGCTCTGCGCCTGGACCTGATCAGCTCCCGCGCGCGGTTTGGGCCGGGGCCCAGGGCGCCTGCGACCTCTTGGAGGACGTGGCCTTCGACGTGTTTGAGCTCGGCATAGCCCCGCTAGGTTTCAACTACTCCCTGTTCTCCTCCATCCCCACGGGCTCCGAGATGGGGGGCCCAGTCAACGGCGTCCGCGACGCCAGCGCCCTTCGACCAATCGCCAGAAAGAACGCCGATACAAAGATCATTGCGCCCGCCATGAACGCCCATTGGGCGCCGCACGTCGCGTCGCACGCGCGCCTTATCCAGCTGGGCTTCATCGGAGGGCGCAATTTCTGCGGCAACATAGTCGCCATCGGCGCCGAGGCGCGCATGGCCGGCCTGCTACCGGGCGGGGGGGGATTACATACCCATGCTCATGCTTGTCGGCATCGCCGCCGCCTTCCCATCGCTGGGTCGGCAATGGCCGTTCAGCGCCCTCGAGCGCTTCGGACGGCGCCCAGGCGTTGTATGAGGCTTCGGAAGGCATATTTCTCCTGGGCCTGCGCGCACTGGCCAGCGGGTTTGCGCATGGCTGGCTACTGCCAGGCAGCGTCTGGGCGATCGCGAATGACCGGATTCTGCGAGTTCTTGCCCAAATGTTCCCCGGAACATCGCAAATTCCGACACTTCCTCGGACCTCGTGCCATTCGCATGCGGGCCACGCTCGGAGCTCCTCATGGCATCCAGAGTCGGGGGGCCCACACATCCAAGGCATACGCTACGGCTGTCTAGCTGCGGCGCGCGCCGACGACGCAGGCGCTGTCAATCGCACTGTGCGCCAGTTGCCCGCGATTGCCAGCACTGCGGCCGAGTTCGGCGATCTGCGCCCCCATTCGAAGAGCGACCTGGTTCCGCTTTGGGAGCCGCTGACCGAGAACGTGATCCAGCGCGTCAGGCGCGTCGTGGCCCACTTGGCCCCCAGTGGCCCGACGTCCGCGCCGAGGACAAGGGGAAACACCTCGGCGCCATCGTGGGGCCCAGCGCAACGGCCGACGACCAGCGGGGCCCAGCGGGCGACAAGTGGTGGCGATGGGTGGCGCTCACGAGTCAGACTGGCACTCCAGTCGGCTCTAACGGGCGCCTCTATGGCGCGTCGTGTCTAACCGCCCTCGCCCACCTCGCCCCGTTCTTCGGTCTGCCGCCCAACCTCGGCGCAAGGCGCCCCACGCACTCCGCATGGTGCGGCGGCTCCCGCCTTCCTTCCGCCTGACCGACATACTGTCTGTCGACGCTTGGTTCCCGACATGTAAGCAAGCTCTGGCGGCTGGGACGTTGTGGCGCATTGCGGAGTTCACGATTACGACCTGGACCACGACTCTTTTCTGGCGCATAGGCACCGCCATCGTGCAACGGCTTGCGGCCGCGTCCAGGGACCGCCCCATGGAGGCCCCCGCCCGTGCGCTCCCGCTGCACCAGAAAGCAGCGGAGGTGGCCAAACGCGCTGCTCGGTTGCCCGTGACAGCTGGCGCGCGCCTTCACCCGCAAATGGCTTTCGCTCAGTCCCTCCAGGCGGCGACCCACCCCGAGTGAGGAGGAGGAGCACCGCTACCTAGATCGAGCCCGAGCTGATCCCACGTGACCTCCGACAGAGGGGGCGGCAGGTGAAGGTTTTCCTCATTACATTGCCTCCAGCATGGCGGTGAATCGTCTTGGGGACCCTTGCGGGCGGGTGGCGCACCAGCTACCGCATGCATGTGTTTGCTGTGCGGCACGCGTGTGAATTTGGATGCGGAGAAGGGCGCGAAGAGATCAACCACTACCTGGAATGCCGCCACGCCTTGCATTGGCTGCTTCGCCTTCGACAACTCCGTCATGGCGATCTCCTGCATCGGCTCGGACTGGCCAGAGATGAGGCTCACCGCGACGATCCGCAGCATGAGCATTCCAGGTTTACGGCAATGCGCAACCTCGCGTTGCTCTATTACGGCTTCGTCCGCAAGGTCACCTACCTCCACACCTGTTTTTTTTTCACTGGGCGTGCCACAAGGCGGCGCTGGACCGCCTTAGCGACAATAGCCATTGAGACGGCGCCCCGCAGCTACGTGGCCGCCCGCCGCCGACCAGACCTTCTGAAGGTACTGGCGCTCTTCCTTCTCCTCCTCCTCCTCCTCCTCCTCCTCCTCCTCCTCCTCCTCCTCCTCCTCCTCCTCCTCCTCCTCCTCCCCCTCCTCCGCGTTGTTGCGCCGCGGGTGCCGCGGAACACAATCATTAGTTACCCCCTTATCGGTGGACCCCAGTCCTTCCATATGACCGCCGACAAAAATGATTAGTTGCCCCCTTGTGGGGGGGTCTACAGACCCTCAGGCATTACAGATTTCATGTACCCCTCATCTGATTCCCCCGTCGGTGCTTGGAACACACGTTGGGGAGATTCCGCTGATCTCCGCTGAGCATCCTGTGCGGCTTTTCACTTGTAGACCTCGGCGGGGGAATCGGGCTGGGGGCAGATCCGTGCTGCAGTCGGTCCCCTGCGCGAGTAGGGCCCGGCCCCTGGGCGGAGCGGGGGGAGGCGCTGGCCGCGGTCCGGCGCGACGGCTCCCTGCTGGGGCGGCTGCCCGCCGACCTCCGGGGCGACAGGTCGAGGGCACAATGGGAGCCCATGCCAAGAGGCACCCCGCTTGCCTCCAGGGAGCCCGGGGCTTACGTGGCGCATTCGGGGAACCTCGCCTCTGTCCCACGAATTGGTGTCTCTTCTCGTGCCCGACGCGGGTTCGATGCGGATTCGAGGCGGACGTGGCGTGCATTCGACGCGCATTCGACACGGATTCGACGCGGATCCGACGAGTCCGTCATGGATTCGGTACGGATTCGATGCGGATAGGGCCGCGACGGGACAGACAAGGTCCCCTGAGGATGCAGCATAACTGGGTTTCTATGGTTTTGTTGTGCTGAGCGTGACGCTCCCACACCAAAAATCAATGAACGTCCTGGGGTCTCAGGGTTGGAGTTCCTACTGTATGTACGTGGGAGGGGCGTTTGGGGCCGATGTGGGCATCAGGCATCGAGCCCAGACGTGCCAGCGGAGGCGTGGCTGCCTCGATGCGCCCGGTCTGAAAAGCGACACGTGCGCCGTGTTCAAAACGTCCATGTCGATACGTTGCGCGTTGGCTGAACGTATGGGCCCACGTTTTGGCGAACGCTGTGCGTCAGACCGACGTTTCTGGTCTACGTCTTGAGTTAAGTATCAATGCGTTACGCGTTGTGTGTCGGGGCAGCTCAGGACGAAAGATGTTTGGCCGTTTTCTGCCTTTGGGGGCCATCGCCGGGCACAGGGGCCGTCAAGTAGCGACTCAAGGTGAAAAGCCAGTTCTGGAGAATAGGTCGAGGCACCAGGGCGTCCACGCATGAGGGAGTTCAGCCTGTGTCCAGGGCGATATTTCCTTCCAGGGGCCGTCCAAGGCGATGTTCCTGTAACCCTACCTCGTCTTGGCCTTGCCCCACCTCTCAGCCCACCCGGGCAGGGAGCTCGTAATGGCGGCCGTGGAGAACGCCGGCTGGGCTTTGCAGTGGGCAGATCGGCTGCACGGCAAGGGTGGCTCTTCGCAAGGGTGGCCTCTGGTGCGCGGCTCCCCGGGGGGCGCGCAGGCCGCTGCATCGCGTGCAGCAATCGGCTGGCCGCGCACCAAAGGGTCACACTCTTGCCAGGGGTCGCTCGTGCGTGCAGCCGGCCAGCGCCTGAGCTGCGGTCCGACCGCGACGTGGTCGCTGCGGCGGTGCGGCAGAGCCCGGCCGCCCTGGAGCACGCGGCCGAGGCGCTGAGGGGCGACCGCGCGCTCGTGCTCGCCGCCGTGGGCGCCGACGGGCTGGCCCTGCAGCACGCCTCGCCGGAGCTCTGCGGGGACCGGCAGCTGGCGCTCCGCGCGGTGTCGCAGTGCGGGCGCGCCCTGAGGTTCGCGTGTGCCGAGCTCCGCGCGGACGAGGGCGTGGTGCTCGCCGCCGTGGGGCAGAGCGGCTACGCCTTACAGCACGCCGCGCCCCCGCTGCGGGCGGACCGCGGGGTGGTGCTGGCGGCCGTGTCGCAGAACGGCCTGGCGCTGGAGCACGCCGCGCACTGCCTCCGCGGGGACCCTGAGGTGGCCCGCGCCGCGGTCCTGCGCAGCCGCCACGCTCTGAGCTTCGTGCTGGGTCCGCTGGGGCGGGACCCCCAGCTGGTGCTCCTGGCCGACCGCGCGCCGCGCCTCGGGCTGCCCTCGGGGGAGATCGTGCGGCTGCACGCGCCGCCCGGGGCCACCGTCCGGGACGTCACCCCCGGGGCCGCGCGGCACCTGCGCTTCGGCGGCGACGGCGCGAGGCTGGAGCTGGACGGCCGGCTGCTCGCCGCGGACGACGCCTCCAAGGTGTCGGACCTGGCCGAGGCCTCGTTCGCCTCCGGGGGCCTGGGCATCTTCCAGGTGCCGCCGCGGAGGAAGCGGGTCTTGCAGGGGCCCCAGTCCCGAGGCGTCTCCCCGTTTTCGGCTTCTGGGGGCCCTCGCGAGCCCCAGAACCGCCAGGAGACGAGACGGGATGAAAAGCAGGCCATGGGGAAAGCCCCGGGGTCAAGGACCCGTCTCCCTCAGACCTCCTTCCCCTTTCACTCCAGAGGTGGTGCCCGCGGTGCTCGTGGTGGATGAGCGATCCCGCGCTCCGGGCCCGGCTGCGGCTTTGGCCGCCAGCAAGCAGGAGGAGGTTGGGGTCGGACGAAAGGGGGGATTCGGGGAAAGGGGGGGGGATACAAGGTCTGCGGCACGCAGCTGCTTGCGGCCCCGCCGCCGAGCACACTTCTTTACACATGGCCGCCTCTGGCGCGGAGAGGCGCCAGACAAAACAGCTGTGTGCAGCTGATTGGCTCTCCCCCCCTCCCCCCCCCTCCTGCTGCGCACAAGAGTGACACTTCGCTGGGTTGACCTCTGGCGCTGGCCTACAAGGGTCCCCTTGGCACTGGTTGGCCCGTTTGGATCTTGGCCCTCCCCGCGGCCCCCTGAGGCTGGGGGCCACTCCCTGCGTGCAGCCGACCCCTTCCGCTACGCCATGCCCCCCCCCCTCCCACCCGCGCCCCGCGCAGCAGGAGGAGGCCGCCCGCTGGCAGAGGCTCGCGGCGCAGGCCGCGGAGGCGGAGCGGGCCGCGGAGGCGGAGCGGGCCTTGCTAGAGCCCTCGTCGCCGCCGTCGGCGGAGATCGAACCGTCGTCGACGTGGAGGTAGAAGCCCGTGCCGGCTGGCCCCAGGACCGCTCCTCGGCCGCGCGGGGGCGGACGGCGCTGCCTGATGCGGGGCGGCGGGCGACGCCTCCGCCGAAGGCGAGGCGGCGTGCCCCGCCTGGGCTGCTCTCGCCGGTTTGGGTACGGGTGTGGGAGTTGGTGCGTGTGTTGCGCGGCGCAGGCTGTCGGAGAGGGCCGGAGGCTGTGCTGCCTGCCACGTGCTGGCCGGGCCGGTCCTGGGCTCAGGGTCCGGAGTATGTGTCCTCTTGGGCCAGGCGGGCGTCCATCTAGGCCTCCCAGATGGGGTCCGAGCAGATGGGGTCGGAGGATCGCGCCGCATCGCCGATGCATCGACGATGCGGCTCAATGTGAAGATCGTGTTTCCCCACGCCGACGGCGCCGATGCATCGCCGACGTCGCTGATGCGGTGCGATCCTCCGACCTCATCTACTCCGACCCTACCCAAGGGGGCTTCTGGTCCACAACAATCATGGGTCCAGGATGGGCCCGGCCAGGAAGGGACAAGTCCTGCCCTGGCCAGGAGGGCGTCAAGCTGTACAGCAGGAACAACCGATCGTATGTTAGAACCTCGGAAAATGTGAGAGTCAGGAAGACACCGAACAGCATGAAGAACGGCAACACAAAGTCAGGATAGTGTAAATGTTATCCGGGTGATATGACAACGATCGCTCCAAATCGTGTCAAGGACCAATAAGCCCATGCGCACTACGGCGACCATGAGCTCACTGCGCCGCTTGCTGAAGGGCGCGCCTGGAAATGAATCCAACCCGACGCAATCGTGACACGTGGTTGCTGGCTCCACCAGGAGTGCCTGATGCGGTAGACGGCGTTGAGTTGCTTCCGGAAGTCGCCGAAAGATTCGCTCTTGCATTCGGAGACGAGGTGGCGCAAGCTAGGCCACACTTCCTCGCCACAGTAAGGGCACCGTTGTTCTGTGCACTAGCGCCCTCGGGTAGGCGAAGAGGTCGCTCCACACATGAAGCTGCGTACTTCCGAATAGTGGTCTGCTGGAAGAGCATCCCCAAAAGTCTGCCATAGCTTCTCAGACAAGGCCGACACATCGACCTCCTCGACGCCCTCAGCATCGTTCCATGTGTCTCTGGTGGAGGAGAGGGCGCGCACCCAGCAAACCTGCTGGAGGAGGTGCGACACATTGTCCCCTTCGTCGCTCCATAGAGTCTTGCGTCGACCAAGCAGCCAAACAAATCGGTGATCGTGCTCTTGTTCGCGAATGCCGAAACGAACGCCCCGGCCCCTGTGGAAGATACGGAAGTCCAGGCCCACAGCGTCCAGGAAATGCTCGAAATTATGATTCGGGAAAGAGCTTCATTCCAGCTTCCATGTAGTGATCCTCTCGATCGCCGCGAGGACTGTTGTAAATATGGGGTGCAGGTTGAGGTCGAGGGCCCAGAAGCGCCCTCTGCACCACCACGTGCATTTTGTCCGTAAGAAGGCCTCGCCCGTGGCTTTGGGCGGCGCCAGGGAGAAGACAGGGCAACACCACAGCCACAGAGGCTTTGCGTATGCCCCCACAGCGCGCGACCTGGTCGTAGCTGAGCCCGGGAGGCCCCAGATTGTTTCCAGGCGCTTGTGAAGCGTGGACCAGCCGGCCGCCGGCGTGATGTCCACTTCGGGGTCATCAGGCACTGCCAGAATGCCAATGTGTTCGATGGTTTCCTTTGCCCGCGCGCCCAGCGCTGCCACTTCGTCTCGTTCTCGGTGGCACCGGTGCCAATGTCGAACTTGTTCGTGCTCTGGATATCGGAGTCGAGCTGCGCTTCCTAGGAGCATACCAGCGACCAGTCATCCATGAAGAGAAACTTGGTGTCGTGCATGGTCCACGGCGACATAACCTCGCATAAGACCTTGGGCACGCAGCTATCTCCTTGGGGCATGCTGCGCGTTGGCCAGATATCTTCGTCTGCAAGCTCCCGTGCAACTAGGCACACGCGAAGCCCCATCCACACAGCGTGGGCCACGGCGGTGACCAACTGGGGCGTGCCCGACTTGTGCAGCGCAGCGAGCCCCACCTCATGGGGGACGTTGTCGTAGCATTTCGGTAAGTCTCTCTCGGTGCCGCAGTCGCCCTTCTCACAGGATGTAAGCCAAAGGCAGCACGCGTGGACAACGGATACCCCAGACTTGTACGCGTATTGTGCGTCTTGTGAAGTAAGTAAGCTTGGCTCGCAGGCCGTCAGCCAGGACCGGGGCAGGCTCGATCCCACACCTGTGGGCCGGCTCTGTGTCGGATCCTTTTCGGCACGCCGACCACGCGCCAGCAAATTTGCAACGTTTGAAGTTCTCGCAGGGCGTTCTGGGGCCCAATCTTGATGCCCTCCTCCGATGATAGGCTGGCCTCCGCGAGGAAGAAGCAGGTGTCGCACCACAGGTCATACTATTCCCGCACTAGGAACTCGAGCTGGGAGGCCATGAGCTTGAGTTCGGAGGAGTACCAGCCGTCATAGCCAGCACCGCCCTTTTGCCCTTCTTCACAGCCTTCACAAATTCGTCGTAGGTGGGGACCCAGTCCGCTGGGCACGTGGAGCTAGGAAGCGGCTCGCGCATCTGGGACGCGTACCATGTCCACTGCTCTGCACACTACTTGTTGTCGCTTGTGCTGGGTGGACACCAGATCTGGTTCCACTCCTTGGCCATGTCGTTCGCTGTGATACTTGGGCACTCCCCGCCTGACTTGTGGACCCCGAAGGCCGCCTGCCAAGTTCGAGGGGTGAAGGTTCTGAACAGCTGCTTCCATTCGCTCGAGACCTGCTTCTGGAGCTGGCCATGCTCGAGCGCGATTGCTTTAGACACTCAGTCATGAGCTCTGCCGTAGGAATGGACGCTGGAGCCGTCGACATCGATGTAGCCGCGCAGGCATTCACGTACAAAATGGTCCAGGAGGCCGCCCTCAAGAGAACGCTGGGGACCATCACGGAGCCCATGCGCGATGCGCCCGCCGAGCCGTTAGAGCCTCGCCAGGGCGATCGGCTCGCTTGGTCGCCGTGCCGGCTGGGAGGCAACAGGTCGCGAAGAGGGTGTGGATCTCTTCGGCCGCTCGCCCCCCCTGGCCAGCTCCAGTAAGCCTTGAGCGACTCCGACCTGCATTGCAAGCTCCGCTCGGGCGTACCACCAGTGCCACCGCTCCAGAAGGGGGTTCGGCGCGGGGAAGGACAGTCAGTTGCTGCCGCACTTCAGCTTCGAGGGCTTGGATGTCCTCAGGGAGGACAATGGGCATCAGGATCGCCGACGTACAACGCCGTGCGGTGCAGCCTTGTGGTGCGCTTGGGAGCGTGGAGCACGCCGACTTGGTACGTGACCAGGGCGTGGTAAGGGATGCCCTCCACGAGCTCGGACGATAAGTGCATGAGAGCAGCGCCCTTGGCCAGGGCGTGCGTGGGAGCTGTATTCAAAATTGTGGTGCTGTGGGCCTCGCACAAGTCGACGCCGTTGTACACGCACTGCTCGTAGCAGGGCCGCCAGTTAAGGTCACCACCAACGACCCAGAGAGATGAGCCCGAAGAATGTTGCTCCGCAAACGGCATCACCTCCTCCGTCCAGCGCACCGACACGCAGCTGGCGGGCCCACAGGCACTGACAGAGGTGCCGCAAGCCAAACGAATCGCCGTGTAGCGTTGTGAGCCGCGTCGGACTGCAGCCTGTCCTGTCCTGAAGATGGTCTCCAAAATATGACCGACCCACCCTGCATGAGGACGCCCATCCTGTTCCGGTCTGGCGGCGTAGAGCAAGCTGCGCGCCACCCGCACTTGAGGGCCGTTGAAATTTCCTAGCCTGAGCTGCTTGAGGCCAGGCGGACATCCTGGAGGAGCAGGACGTCCACGTGCTCCAAGGCCTGATGAGCCAAAATGGTCTCCAGACGATCCTCCCGCAACACGGTGACGTTGAGCGTAGCCACCTGCAAGAAACTTGAAGACGGTTCTAATGCGGTAGCGGACGAATTGTTTTCCGTCGCCCTCGAGGGCTCGCCCCCCCCTCCCCAGAAAGGATCAAGAACGATACCGTGGGGATAAGCATCAACATGTACAGCATCAACATCGCCACGTGCCGGCGTCCAGCCCGCAATGCTCATGAGGACTTGCTCGAAAAAGCTCCCAGCGGACCTGCCACAACCACCATGCGGACCTGCTCGGAACAGATCCTGGCCAGCGCCTCCACGAAGAAGACGACCCGACTCGGCAGCCAGAATACCATGAAACCGTAGATTGGCACGTCTACGATGCGGACCTGCTCGAAACAGATCCTGGCCAGGGTCTCCACGAAGAAGACGACCCGACTCGGCAGCAAGAAGACCGTGCAAACATCGATTGGCACATCCATCATGTGGACCTGCTCGAAACAGATCCCGGCCAGCGCCTCCGCGGGGAACGTGACCCGACTCAGCAACCAGAGGACAGTGAAACCGTCGATTAGCACATCTAGGATGCAGACCTGCTCGAGACAGGTCCCGGACAGCGCCTCCACGAAGAAGACGACCCGACTCAGCAGCAAGAAGACCGTCCAAACATCGTTTGTCATATCCATCGTGCGGACCTGCTCGAAAACCGATCCCGGCCAGCGCCTCCACGAAGAAGACGACCCGACTCGGAAGCAAGAAGACCATGAAACCGTCGATTGGCACATCCATCATGCGGACCTGGTTGAAAAAGATCCCGGCCAGCGCCTCCACGAAGAAGACGACCCGACTCGGCAGCGAAAAGACCTGCTCGAAAACCATCCCGGCCAGCGCCTCCACGAAGAAGACGACCCGATTCGGCAGCAAGAGGACCATGAAACCGTCGATTGGCACATCCATCATGCGGACTTGCTCGAAACTCGAAACAGATCCCGACCAGCGCCTCCACGAAGAAGACGACCCGACTCGGCAGCAAGAAGACCGTGAAACCGTCGATTAGCACATCTACGATGCGGACCTGCTCGAAACAGATTCTGGCCAGCGCCTCCACAAAGAGGACGACTCGATTCAGC